TATAAATCCCCCAAACACACTCATATTAAAAAAAGACAAAAGATGAATGACATCTCCCCCTAATTTAAAGAACATATTGTGGGTTTGTGCATATTTATTATAAAGAGAACCAAAAATGTTAATTAGAAAATATTTATTATTTAGTCAAGTAAATATGAAATAATGCATTTTAACACTTGGCATTCTCCTTTTGGGAAAGCAAATAGGGCTTTAGGCTCCCTTTCCACGTGCTCAAAAAGCCTGCTTACACAATTCAGTAGCTTAAAGTGATATCAAAAGTCAAAATATTTTTAAGCTATTCCAAATGCTGATACAAAATTATTAAAAAATAGTTTGTGTTTAACACTACTTTAAACTGGAATTTACACACACACTTGTGAATGAGTCACATGATGATGACAGACGACTGTCTAAAAGGCAATTATTATTGGTGTCTTTTTACATAACCCACAATTCTCTGGGAATCCTTTTTCATGTTTAAATGCGTATTTGTAAAACAAAACTTTTCTATAATAAAAGCAAAGAAAAAGTAAATAAGCAAAAAGTTCCATTGTCATTGCCTTGTCTTGAAACATGCAAATCAAAAAATTGCATAATTCCTAACCATCTAAATTGTTGGGGTGGTAGGGGAGCTATTCACAAACACAGTTTCATTAAGAAAGAAAAATATTTCTATGGTCATTGCATTTGCCTGGACACATGCAATAAACTGCATAATTCACAACCACCTTGATGGTTTCATTCAGCAGAAAGAAGAGCTAATAAGTTCATTACTAAGCACAGAATTAACTGCGGTCAAGTGACTACAGTAAAGATGTTATGGAAGAGTGTGTGTGTGTGTGTGTGTGTGTGTGTGTGTGTGTGTGTGTGTGTATACACACACACATGTATATATATATATATGTGTGTGTATGTACACATTTATTTGCTTTCATACATGTCCTCTGTATGTATGTGTATAACAAATGTAAATATCTCATTAAAAGTTACTTAAAACAGGACATGTGATCCCATCTTATCCTAGAGAACATCTACATATAACATCTTTAATCCCAGAGGCACAGTAGGTGGCTGTACTGTCATTAACAAGATGATTTCACATACCTCGATTTCCTTGCCTGGTGACATGGGATTTGGGCTTGCAACTCCTCCAGCATTGTGCGTCATCTTCACAAAACCTTTGGACTCATTTGTAAACAACTCAAGATACTGATTGACCACTCTGTTGACACACAATTGTGACAGTATATTTTCAGCTTGTGCATGGATTATGATTGTCCTTTGAAATAGTTACTGGATAACCCCTTGACCAATACACACCCAGTGGCAATTTTTTTTTATATTATGTACAGCTGCTTTGTAATGTAAAAAGCCCAACAGCAAACATTTGCCTGCAACTCAATATATAAACACCCATTTGCTAATTTTCCAGGCTAATTTTTAAGTCGAACTGTAAATGTCACCAATAAACTCAGGCTGCTTGAAAACATTGTAAGTCCTGAACATAGGATTTATTTTTCTCTTTTCATAGTTACTCAAGCCAAAAACTCTTATGATGGTTTGGAGGCTGCAGCTAAAGACTGATGGGCTCTGTGGATAAACTTTGGTCTCTGCACAGCAGTTCAATACAACCAGCCATGTCAAAGCTACAGAGGATCAATCATTAAATATCATGCTCCCTGCAGATTGCACCATTGTAGCGTTCAAAAGGCTGTTGAACCGCTGTACAGGGACCGCTGCTCTCCCACAGCAGCCTTCGGACCAGAAGTGGCGTTTTCTGCACCCGTAGCACAGTAAGATTTTCAATATTCGTCAGCTAAAATTAAAATTTTAGCAGATGAATCGACGATGGAAAACGTTTTTATTTACATTATAAAAAATACTCTTTGTGATGAGAGCTTCAAAATTAACCTTTAAGTAGAGACCTAGGATTGTGCAACTGTACATGTTGCTAGTTTTCAGGCCCGGCATCAAACCTTAACATTAAATAAAGTATCATTTTAGTTTATAAACTGAGCTGCTAACACTGCGGATGACTCTCTCACCACTACAAACTAATATCAGAGTTAAATTTTAAAAATGCATTCATGTACCTTAACAAAAATGTATGTTACTGGTGCATCACTCAGCTGTAGATCCTCAAATCATCTCTGAATTGGTGCCGACACTGTCCTTCCTTCTGGAGGGGGGCTACATTTGTTCTCCATGGTCCCTGTGTGTGTTGTAAAGTAGCTTGCTCCCATGATGGACTATAATCTCAATACAAATAAACAAACTAAACATGAGATTGTAGTCCATCATGGAAGTGAGCTTGGAGTGGTGGCTGCTATACAACACACACACAGGGACCATGGGGGACAAATGTTTGATTTGATGATTTACTGGACTTCAGACTGCTGCAGAGGAGGGGGAGACACATTCCAGGGACTGGTCTAAGAAGAAGCCAGCTCGGAGCTTTGGGTGATTTTTTTTTAAAAACCTAGATACACACAGTCCGTGTGTGTCTAGGTTAAAAAAAAAAATAACCCGCTGTAAGGGTTATTAAAAAACAAAACACGGAGTTCTTCTTTAAAGGCACATTGGCTATTTTTCCTGAAATATGTTCAACCATGTTTTAAAATGTAATTGCATCACTAACGATAAACGAAAACAAGTTTTTATTTTAAAAAATACACTCACCGATCTATATCAATTTTTGATCCAACGAGAAATCTGAAAGGATAAAATATTCCATTAAATTACACAATTTTACAAAATGTTCAATGTAAAGTAACAGATGTATTAACATTTGCAGTTTGATGAAAGTTGTTTGGATATGCATGCTGTACGCACTGCTTTTATACAGTCTCAAGTCTTTGTATACAAGGACATCATTTTATTGCAACATTAACCTTCAGAAAGCTATAGAAGTGGTGCCAAGAAGAATAAGCCAAAAGGTTGGATAAAGGGTAAAGCCAACAAGCCCTGTGCGGTGTGCAACAGACAGGCGGCCATTTGCATTAGTATCTGAAATCTGTCCCATTTCAGACCACGGTCAGAAGTGGGAGTGAGGAGGAAGTGACCAATTAGTATCTGATCAGATAAGAATGTATTTAATTTTATTTTTATATAATTGCTCCAGTTACTGGGAAGAACAGAAAATTGTGACACAGCCTGAAGCTGGTATAAAAGAACAACAATATAAAAGACAATGCTCAAGGGAAAGTCCTTACTGAAATAATAGATGGATGGAGGGAAATTACAATAAAACAAAATGATTGAAGTTAATCTGTATGGTAGTTAGATGGAAGGAAACAATAAAAGGTAATTATTGAAGTTACTATATACCAAAGACAAATGAATCTGTAGAACTCACTGAGAAGAAGGGGAGTGGAAGTCATCATCCTCTTCAGCTTTGGAGGTCTGCATTTTACCGAAGTACAAAGGATTGCCTATGTTCTGGAAAATGGTCAATTTCCCTCTGTTGAATGGGCTCCCAGATTCACATTCAAATAGATAATCCTCTTTTGTATCCTGCAGAGAAAAAAATGCACCAAATAACCACAAAAAAAAAAAATTCTAAGTAGTCAGTCTGATATCCTGTACACATTCTCCACCAACAGAACATATTAGAGCTCTTTCACATAGGCATTCCGATCAGGTCCACCCCAATGCTAGTCTATAGGCAGCTGGATTAAAATGGATGGGTGTCTGTTTACATCCAGTTACCCCCAGCTCCGGCAAGGTCCAGAAAAAAATTAAACGGATCAGAGTTTTGTTTCGCTGGACCAGATCGTAGTGAATCAGGTGTAATCTGATGTAAACAAACACAAGTTTTACATCTGATTCCCAATACACCAGCTTAGATCTAGTAATCTCAGTTTTTTCCTCCATCGCAAGATGAAGGAAAAAACTAGACAGACACCGATGTCACAATGGTGACATCCATTCTGATCAGCAGGGGATCCATACACAGATCCCCTCCTCATCGGACCATGTAAAAGAGGCCTTAAGCTAGCCATGCATGGCTAGATTTTCCCTTGTTCAGTTAGCGAGTTGCACGAGAGAAAAGCAATACATTCCCCGCTGCCCACTGTTGGCTACTGTATTTTGCAGGCACAGCACCTGCAGTTGCCTGAATACCCTAGCATTGACTGTATTAGGTAGGATTCAGGCCCTGTTTGGTCAGTGATCTTCCAACTGGCTCAGCCGATTTTTATATTGACTTGTCGAGCTGGGTGGTGCTTGCAGGGCCACCCATGGCCGATTGCTGCATTCGGGCAGGGTATGGCCAGCATTAGCCTAAAATGGCCAACACCGTAGATTAGGTCATAAAATTAAGAGAAATATCTCAAATTCTGAACAAGCTTGAGTACCCTTACATGTACATTTGGGAATATTATTTTTTGCCTCTGTCTACATTTTAAATCCATATGCATATATACTTATTACTTCAACTTTAGTCTGTAAGACAGACTCAAGTGATAATTATACAAAGCCAGTCAGGCGCTACAATATGATTTGCATTACACATAGACCTGTTCAACAGGCATGGCTGTCAGACCTCCACAGCAATCTGTCACACCAAAAATGAAGAGTGACGCAACAGGAGGAAAATGTACTCTGCTTTCAGACTAAATTCACACTGCACACATGCACTGCACTATAACACAAACAGTAAAATAAATATTGGTCAGAAAGGGATTTAATTACTCACATCTGCTGGCCAGACAGTAGGTTGCGAGTCATCAAGTTTGAAAGATTTTTCCACTTTTGCATACTTTTCAACCTGGGCAACGGAGAGAAGGAATGATTATGGTGCTAATATAAATGAACTGAATTCTGAAAGTAAACATCATTTATGCCGCACCGGGATATTAAGTTACATCACAGTGTAGTTCCACTTTTGCTGTGAAATCTGAGAACATGCTGAGAACTATATGTTTTGTTATGTGTTCCTATTCACACAGCATACCAAATAATATTTTTTGTTACCATTTCTTTGGAGGAGACCTTTATAAAGACTGCAAGCTATTCTAAACAGTCTCAAAGGGACTCTGTCTCCATAGAAAGACTAGGGACAATCTGAGCTTCCCCTCATTAACATACAATGCTTCTAGGTTGTTAAGCCTTTGTTAGGACAGTGTTCAAATGTACTTTACAACTGATAAGGAAGTCTGATAGCACAGTGCAGACAGGGTTAATTGGAGTAAACATAGCAAACGACAACCCCCCCTTTTTTTCCTTTATCAGTCCCCGCCGTCTCCCTCTGCGACTTGGTTTTCGGGGTCGTGGGACCATGCCAAATGCCCTTAGGATGGAGTGCGGGGAGCGGAGCAGAGAAACATCTGCTCCCTGCTCTGCGATCAGCTACACAGGATCGTTGTACACGCAGCGCTCCTGTGTCAGCTGTCACAAGTAGAGCTGTACAGAAGATCCAGCACCCATGTGCTGGATCTTCTATATTGGAGGGCAGGCTCATAAAGAGAACCTGTCGCCTCTGAATGCCATCACACAGGGGCCTGTTATCCCCGGTGGGATAGCTATAAGGTGGGAAAAAAAAAAGGAGAAAAAATAATGAAATTAAGAAAACCAAAATAATAAGATAAATACAAATTTAAAAAAATGAAAACCAACCCCGCCATCTGCATGCTAATAAATGCACACATAGGGCATTGTGTGTATGGGTGATGAGTGCTGCCCTCATTCCCGTGTGACATAGTGTGGTAGCTGGGCAGCAGCGCTCTCTAACACACACAAAGTGCATTAAAGGGTAAGTTCACTTTCCTAAGTAATTTGGAAAAATTGAATTACCCGCTCAAATCTTCCCCTGCCCACTATACTTACCCTTCAGCGAACGGTCCTCCTCCTCCACCTGCACAGGTGTACTATCCGTCCTTCCCCTCCACCTGCACAAGTGTACTACAGCCATGCACTATGGATTTTGAATTTCACTCACAAATTGGGAGTACTCTTCGGTCAGCGCGGTCACCTCACAGCACGGACTAATGAGAAGCGCTTCTTAGCTCAGTTAAATACGGTTTTGGGTGACATATTTTGTATCATGACATGTAGATTGGGCCCCCGCGTGATCCTTGATCAAGCTTTCAGGTATCTTCCCAACTATGGAAGATAGGCTTGCAGGTCTGTAATTACCTGGTAAAGACTTTGATTCCTTTTTAAATATAGGCACCACATTGGCCTTGCGAAAATCCATTCGTACCAAGCCAGTCATTAGAGAGCCTCTAACAATTAGATACATTGGCTTCAAAATGATACAGCTCAGTTCTTTGAGGACACGTGGGTGAAAGCCATGCGATGCAGGTGCTTTGTTCCCCTCAATTTTGTCTGTTTGTGAACCATAATCTCTTTTGTTTTTATATTATAAAACAGGGTAAGACTTTTGCATGTGTGAACATAAATGAAAACAGAGCAAACAATTGTGTAATAAAATAGTAACTGTATACTCACATCCACTTCAGAGGGTACAGCAAATGAACACGGGTTTTGTTTCCATATGTCAACACACTAAAAGAGAATGTATCAATCACAACTGGTTCCGGAAATCTTATGATTTATACAAACAAAATAAACACTAACATTACATTCATTTGCCCAGGACTTACATTCCCAATTTTAGATATCTTAAGGTCAAACTGGGGTTGTGAGGCTTTCCTTTCTTTCCTTTTATGTAGATAGTCGAGCAGTCTGAGCTGTGGCGGGGTCGGACAATTTGATAATTCCTGTTGCCTGTTTAGAGCTGGTCGGGAATACCTTTTCAAACACCTTCATAAGAAAACAAGAGATTACAGTCACCTCATTACCTCTTCCTCACAAAAAAAACAAACTCAAGGTGGTCATTGTCCCCTTCCCAAGGAACAGCGACATTCACAAACACCTGTTGTTCCTGCTAGTAAAGTCCACCTAATGCAGCTTCCCGTAATGGGGTGACCACGCTGCAGCACTGCTCCTCTATTCAGAGCAGCACTGTCACGCTTTTGTAGTCTTTGCCTGCCTGCACTACAGATGGATAATATATTGTTACATGGGCGGTTATCAGCATTCTCACTGACTATTCGCAAGCATGTATTAATCAGGACCTGGCCATATCCAGTCCCACCCACTGCTTTGTGGAAAAGCACTGCCTTTGTTTCAGAAACCCCCCCCACTGTGAGCTGCAGTGTCTGGGAGGGAAAGCATGTGAGACACAAATGAAGGACGAATTGGCTCAGTCAGGGAAGGTTAAGGAACTTTTGTTTTGGTTCTTTTAACTTTAGGAGGGTTGTACATCACTGGATTTTGGATCTATATAATGCAGTATCTGAAGCACTCTGCTATCCTATCTTTTAAATTAGCTGCTACAATGCATAAATCAATTCAGTAACAACAAATCACATAACAAAACGGGCTTATGTCATTATCTATCTATCTAGATCTCTATCTATCTAGATCTCTATCTATCTAGATCTCTATCTATCTAGATCTCTATCTATCTATGGTCTGGACATGATCCTGGCATGGTGTGAACAAGCCCAAAAGGGTAAGTTGACTTTCCCAAGTGAATTTGGGAAAATGGAATTATCCACTTAAATATGCCCCCCTCTCCCAGACCTGCGCTATGGATTTTGAATTTTGCTCGCCATTTGCAAGCACAAATCAAGGGGGCCAGATTGGAGCGGGTAATTCCATTTTCTCAAATTCACTTTAAAAAGTGAAGTAAACAACATCTACATTAGAAAGTGATAGCTTTGACAAATACTGTGGTAAGGAAAAAAAAAAGTTTTTTTTTTCTTTTTTCCACAGAACGACATGTTACATACAGCAGAAGACAGATATGAAGCAGACAAGAATATGGGATCTGTTACTCTGGCATTTTATAAAAAATAAAGTTCAAGCAAGTACAGCCAAGAAAAACACATTTAGGAGAGCACAAAGGCAGCAATCGATACCTGTTCTTTGTAAGCTTGTCATTCTGCTTAAAAGAAGAGGTCAAATGCCAAGGCTACCAATACCCAACTGGGCTGTAACAGACCTCGGCACTAAACAGGGTGGAAGCGTGAATGGAAGCATTCACTGTATCTGCATTAAAAAGTAGAACTGAAGCCCAAACTTTTGGGGGATATAACCATTTTCAGTTTTTCTTGCCATCTGCGTCCCATTAGGGAGGTTTTTCATTCACTCGCTGTCCCTCCAAAGTGAAGGACATTCCTGGTGATCAGTAGGGTCACCACGGCTAGTGTTCCCTTTGGAAGATTTCCCATTTCTTTCTGTTTTGGTAGGGAACACTTAGAAATGTCCATTGTACCCAAGCAGTACCCTGGACCATTTATCTTGTGTCTTTAGTTTCTTCTTTTAAATAGCAGAGCACATCCTGGTATGCGAGAATGCCTGAGCACTTTTTTTGCCTAAAACCTCATAGTTGTATAGAAGTAGTGTACATGTAACGCACTTCTGCCTCTGATCTGGAGTAACATCTGTACTGCCTGGTGGAAGCCCTGACACAAAGCAGCAAAACCTTGTCTCTACAAAGATTGCTACCGCCACACTGCATAAAGAGTGCAGAGCAAGGCACGATAAGTCAGTAATGTGGAAAGATCAGCTGCAGGGAGACCACAGACAATACTATTAAATAGTCCTCTGCTTCCCTCTTTTAAGCCTCAGCTTCTAGTGTCCCTCACTAATTGACAGAATATGTATGTCAAAATTTATGTGCACATCAGAACTCTACAAAAGGAGTTTTCAAATTAATAAAAAGAGTGCATACTAACTCCTCTGAATAGAAGTCCCTTCTTACCAAACTCCAATCATAAGTTACAGTGACACCCCCAATGGTGAACAAAGGGCAGCCATTCAAAGAAAACAGTCATTATACATTAATTATACAATAAGGCCCTGTTCGCACCAGGGCGGTTCAGGCGCGCGGATTTGTCCACGTTGAACCGCTGACATGAACGATCCCATGCATTACTATGGGGACCGTTCATGTAATCGCACAGTTCCGGCCGATCCGAGCCGCCTGAAATGCTCCCTGAACCTTTTTCATTCCATATAGATTTGAATGGAAAACGGATGATCAGTTCATTTTTAATTGTGTTTCGGAGCTGAAACGTGTGTAAAAACAGCCAAAACCGCCCCACGCTGAAACGCATCCGCCCTGGTATGAATGGGGCCTTAAAAACTCAGAGAAGAAAACAAATAAACAGCAGGGCGATGAGGCCTTGTGGGAGTTTAACCCAAGACACCAGCATATAGAGCATAAAGCACAAGTCACTGCATATTATTTACTAATGCGCTTAGTGAGACTCGTCCCCTAAATGTAAGTCTAGTTATCAACAGGGGATGCAAGTTATGGATGCACTAGGACATCACATTATGCAAAGTAAAAAAAATATCAATCAACTGCATGAATTCCATGTAAAACAGGAAAAGATAAAAAAAAAAAAAGGATGAGCAATGTTTTTAGAAGCTTATTACCAAAGAAGTGAGACTTTCTTCCAACGAATACCAGTAAATTTGCTCCCCCCACTCCCCATGGGAGGAAATGAATAGGAAGCCATGACCGTTTCTCCTTAACCAAAAGCTCTGCAGATCAATACTTTTTATTAAATGGTATAAATAAGAAAAACTCAATGCTCTTGCATTCTTCTCGCTCTCTCAAGACATTAACTAAGATTTGTGTCTTTGGAAGTAGTTTGACCTTGACGTTCCAAGCATTACATTAATCCTGTTCCCTATAGACTATTGATGTCAACATTAATGTTCGAGAGAAGTTAAGGGGAAATCTCACCGTTTCATGGGAACCGTGTTCATCTTCTGCTTGTTGAACAGAAGGCGATTTGTAGTGCAAGCAACGGAGATGGATGGGTCAAGGCACAAGGGCTCCGCTGTTGCCAGAATCAGCTGGCTCTCGAGCAGTAGTTTGTCTTCCTACACAAGATAGAGGAATAAGTGAAAGCATAACATGGCACAATATGTAAGAGTTAACACGATAGATTGTGCAAGCATCAATGGGTCTTTCTCCAAATACTTCTGCAACAGCCATAACGCATATGTACAATAAATCTACAGTTGTGAGTTACATTTATGAATATGATCTACATAACTTGAAGTTACATTTCAAGTAACTTTACTTAAAGTCAACCCCCAGCCAAACCTTTAGTTTTAGATAGCATTGGGAATAGTTAGACCCCCCCCCCCAAAAAAAAACTGACAGAATTTTTGACTCCACCAGGAGACTTCTGCCCATTTTCTGTCCCTTTCACCAGGGCAATAAAGGAACAGGAGTCAGCAGGCTAGAAAGGCACAATTCGGCTTTGGCTTTAACTCGTGCTGCAGTGTCAGGTAAGCAAAGCCCCCACATAGGGGGAAGTAGAAATATTTTATGGGAAGCCTGCAAAATGATAATTTAACACTGTGTAGTCAGTCTCTTACATGATGTCTACTGTTACTGGGTCCCTTCAAAGTTCTTTGTATCTTGTTGCTTAAAAGGAGAACTATTAGGTGAGTGCTTTTCACTCACCTCATAGTTCTGGCCGACCTGTGACAATGAGACTGTCACAGGTCAGCTCAGTAGATCGGGAGGTGAGCGAACACATAACGGCGTTCGCTCACCTCTCGATCCGGTCACGGCTCTCTGCCGTGACAGGGGCTTGATTCCCCCCTCCGATCCGCCATTGCTGACTGGCGGAACGGACGTGGAGGGGGCGGGTACAGCTGGCTCGGCCTATAGATAGGCAGAGCCAGCTGTCAGTCACGCAGCAGGGCGGATCTCAGCACAATTGTCGGGATCTGCTTCAGCTGCGGCGTCTCAGTATACCGCGAGCTAAAGCTCGCGGTATACTGAGCCTAGGGTGACGGGAGGACGCTAGTTTGTGTCCTCCCGTTACCATAAGGTGATGAAAACAGTGTTAGTACCTGAATTTTACCTGGTATCAGCCCCTTGCTGTTTACTGTATACCAGACTTTAAAAGGGGGGTGAGGCAAGCAGTGCAAGTGAGGTGCTGCAATGCAAGAGGCATGCTGATAACAGGAGAGCGAAAAGTGACAGAGATGAGCGCATTAGTGTGCTACTTCTCCTTTCATTGCCTAGTCACAGAGTATAGGTAGGGAGGAGATCTGGAAGTGAAAGTAAAATGGCAGCAGAGAAAGAACAGGTCCCCTGCCAACGAGCACTGTGCTTTGTGGCAGGGTACCTGTGGGGACCTGCCACTGCCAAATATCAAGATTGGATGGACAGAACACCTTTGGCAGGTAAAACGGCTCTCATATTTGTATTTCACCTGTGTATTTAGCCGTTTGCCTGCAGTTCAGCTCTAGGGCATATGCACTCATCATGTATTCTCTGCTATGAAAGGAAGAAACAAAGAATACAAAAATACCTGCACTGACCATTCCCACTAGTTTTAATCTGCAGAACTGTAGATTAAATGCATGTGGTATGTGAGTCATGTGCTGTGTATTAAGGACTGGTGCTAACCAAGATTGCGTTATAAGGTCAAAGTCAAGATCAAAGTGAAGAGGGATATACACAGGAATGTCAGCCAGATAATTTTATCGTATTCCCCCAAAGGATTTGGTTAAAGTTTCTAGCAGCTTTAGTCACATTGACACTTGCTTCTGATTTGTGTTCGCAATGTGTGTTTGGTAGAGTTCAGAGGTAATAAAACAGAAAATAATATTTTCTTCAAGTGACTCCTGAGAGAATGGTAACAGTTTCAGTAATTTAAATCTACAAAATTCTAGCAACCTGGGAATGTTAGCAACGTACACACGTGGACACTTGTGTTGCCTTTTTATCATCTCTTACGTGTAAAGGGAAGTAGAAAGATGTTTCTTTAACTGCCTCCGGGCCGGCCGTAGTATTTTTAAGTAACACATAAAAAAGAATTTAAAAAAAAAAAAAAGATATATATTTTTTAAGTCCCCACCCATACATACACGCATGCATACATGCGTCGGGGGCGCATACGTGCAAAAAAGACGATTGCGCCCATTACGCCGCACATGTTACATATCGCCGCGAACGTCGCAGTGAGAGCAATAAGTCTAGGGCCATCAATCACTGATAACACTAAACTGATGAGCGGTAAAAACGTTTAAAGCGTCGCCTATGGCTAATTTTGGTTGCTGCCGTTTTCTGCGATGTCGCGGGTGCGCGCAATTTTAAAGCTTGACATGTTTGGTGTCTATTTAACCGACGTGACCCGATCTTTTATATTTGACCAAAAAACTGGGTAATAATAAATGTTTCCTAACATAATGTTAAAAAAAACGTTTTTTTTTTCAAAATTTTCAGTAATTTTTCCTAATTATAATAAAAAATAAAACCCCCAGTGGTGATTAATACCACCAAAATAAAGCTCTATCTGTCCCCAAAAAATGGTGTAAAATTTATTTCAGTACAGCGTTGCATGACGGAATAAACGTCAGTCAAAGTACCGCAGCGCTGAATACTGAAAAATGGCCTGGCCAGGAAGGGGGTCTAAACACCTGGTCCTGAAGTGGTTAAAGCAAGAAAAAACAAGAACAAACCAACACTATTGCGGGAAAAAGTAAGGTTAAAGCATGAAAATAGAAAGCAGTCTTGAAGCTGTTAAAAAAGAAAAAAAACTCCTGCAAATGAATACAGTTACCTTTAGGCTAGGTTCACACCTGCACGACACCCGGGACGCGTGTCCCAGGGCCACACCATCATGTGCTAGTGCACATAGCGGTTGCCGTGTGACCCCATTTATTTCAATGGGGTGACATCCACACTGCAATTGCTAAAATGACGCGTGACTTATTTAGCGTTCACTTGCACGGGCGGAATCGCAGCGGGAAAATCGACTGCGGTGGGAAACTCCGTGACCGCGCAGCAATCCACGCGGTTTTGAGCACGATTGCCGTGTGGTCATTAGTCGCTCAGGTGTGAACCTAGCCTAAAGTGGTAGTAAAACTGCCAAGACAGACAGGGCAATAGTAGGTCCCCAGGAGGCATTTCCCATAATCTGCTAATATGCACAGATTAGAACATTATGGGCAACGTACCTTACAGGCAATCTTAGAGAGTAACTGCTGCACCCCTTAACGGAACCCCTATGTACAAAAGGAGGGTGCTGTAGTAACCATGGATGTCGCCGTGTATCTTCAGATATGTAGAAAACGTTACCAGCACACCTATGACTAGTGTCAACAATCCATCTTCTTTATTGATGCAGACTGTCAAATAACAATGTTTCGGGGGCCACGCAGGGTCCCCTTCATCAGGTTTTAATATGACGATTGTGCCATATTAAAACCTGAAGAAGGGGACCCTGCGTGGCCCCCGAAACATTGTTATTTGACAGTCTGCATCAATAAAGAAGATGGATGGTTGACATTTTAGTGAAATGCATTTGAGTCAAGAGAAGGTGAGAGAGTTCTAATCCTTTCCCACTCTATCCAAAGCAAAAAAGGTTTTTGGCTGAACATACACTTTTGATATTATTGGGGCAGCAGTAGCAACAGCAGCAAGCTATAGCCAGATCTCTAATACAAGATATCAGCATATATAGATTTAACCACATTAAAAAACATGAAACGTAACAAGTTACCTGTGTCCACTTGTGGTTGTCACTAGTGATGGCATGTATGTCGGAGACTAAAGTCTGGGAAGAAATAAGAATAGGTATATGAAAATAAGGTACAAAGAAGTACTTGTACTTTGGGTACAAATGCTCAAAGGCTTACTTTATCATGGAAGCCCAATATACAATGACCAAGTGCAATAATCCATGGCAACCAGACAGAATGTTTTTGAAATCTGGTTGGTGTGGGTTACAGTACTTTGCACAGTGACTGTACACTACACTGCCCTACAAAGTACAATAATGCTAGGCATAGACACGAGAGAGCAATAAATACCTGGGAATAAACACTGGTGACTGGTCACCCTGCGCCCTCTCACCAAAGTGCATTTATGTACAAAGGCATTTGTGTACGTAAGTTATAGCCATTCTCCCATCTTTGCATGGCAAAGTTAATAATAATCGAAAGCCAGGCGCAAATGGTTTCTCTTATATGGCCACCACACATGCACTGATATTTAAAAGGAAAGAACCATTACAGTCAGGTGCCATAATGCTACAGACATTGCACGGGTCTTGGAAGAGCACACTGCCTCTCGCAGACAGTTTTCCAACCTTTAGTTTTTAAAGTAGTTTTTTATTTTTGCATAAATCTATTTATCTAAATGCATCTAAAAAGCAGTAAATATATGCAAAAACATTAAAAAAAAACACATTACCAAAAAGTTACTTACCTTTATCACCGCCACTCGCTCCCGTCTGAAGATATGGGGCTTGTTGAGCAGCCGAGCAGGATGATAGGGCGGGCGCATGCGCAGTAGAGATCTTAGGCAGGGATAAAAGGAGACACACAGTGGAGGTGAATGCACGCAGCCGAGAGCGTGCACATTGGACACACACCGGCGCTGGAGGGACTTCTCAATAAAAATGGAAGGAAGAAGATGATCGGCTCAAGAAGTATCATTTAAGGCAAGTCCTTAAAACAGCATAAGGGGGTGAAAACATTTGTGACTTTAATGTCACTTTAAAGGCTTGTTCGCTTTTCAGTATACTCCCCCCCACCCCTGGGATATACACTTTACTAGAACTATAAAATTGCATTTCGTTCAGCAAATCTGTTTTTTTCTAATCACTATCAATGTGCCCCCTTCAGATCATTGCGATATGTTACTCCTGTTACTCCATGTGTGCTACTGTGCACTGCGTTATAGTAGTCTATTAATTTTCAATGGGCTGCTAGCGCACAGCAATGTACCAAAAACTGGACCTGCAGTATTATCTTTTCTAAAACAGCGCACAAAAGTGTGCATCATTTGCATCATGGTGCAATGCAGTGCGGGTCCATTGACACATAGGGGATTATTTATAAATCCCTCACCCAATGTAAGGCTGTGGCATGGTATTCCCACCACTAGATGCAGCCAAAAAGCATAGGAATTTCTTATGTGCCTAGGCTCTGTATAGATGTAAATACCGCTCGTGGCTGGGTGGATAATTGTATAAATCATCCCTTTCTGTTCTTGTTTGTTGGGGTGCCATTGAAAATAATTGGCACTACAAAACACAAAGTGCTGTTTTACATCAAACACATTCATGAATTGTGACTGTGCTAAAGCATGTAGAGCATTATCAACATCATTAAAAGCTTTCTGTATATGACAAATTGATTCTTGTGGTTTAAAGCAGCATGAAACCTGTCAGGAAATATTTTCCACCTACAGAAATCCAACTAAATTTTGCAAGTTGTTTCTACAAACCTTATGGTAACATTGTGTATACCAATGGTTCCCAACAATTGGCTTGGAAGCCACACATTTCTCGCACATCAACTCTCGGTCACCATCTGGAAGCCTCTTGGTAAGTGCTCAGTGACTGTCTCTGACTGAATTAGAGACTTCTAATTAGCATGCAGCCAAGAAAAGCTGCCTTTAAGTGAAAGGATTTAATGCAAACAGCTGAACACACCAATAAAATTGGCATATGAAGGCAGCTGTTTTACTCCAAAGGATTTGTATTTATCTACATCCAGTTTTATGTTTGACACAGCTCTGTCACACCCCACAGCCCCATCTGTCAGGGTAGGAGACCTGATTTCACTCTGCTGGATTTTAGTAACACTTATAGGTCCCCTGCCTATAAAGCTGCCCATACACCTTACAATTTATCTGCAGATTTTCTGTGGTCAGATGGAAAAGGTGCAACAGATTCCTCCATCTACACTTAACTGTGTGGGTGGAGAAATCTCCATCTGGGCCAATCTGTTGCACCTTTTCCATCTGACCACAGAAAATCTGCAGATAATTGTAAGGTGTATGGGCACCATAAGAGGCAGCAGATTGATGAGCTAATCTCTCACTTTGCTTTCTCCATCAGCATGCTCTTTGCACTGCAACAAACTAATTGGCTCCTTGTGCGGCTTCTCCTTCCCCCAGTCTGCGCTCTGCTGTACAATGGCTTCTAGAGGCTGGTTTTAAGTCAAATTCAGGTACTTCTGGTTTGCATTCAAACATTAAGTGTTAAAGTGCAAGGGTTAACTGCAGGTTTTGTCTAATGGGCAAAAATAAAGAAGAAATAGTGACTTGATCCTGGGTCCCGCCTGGCTGTTAGACTGGACAATGCAGCCTCTTCTCCCCCCCCAGGCTACAGCGGTCTAAGGACCTGTCATATCATGTTCAATATGTTCTATTAAACATAAAGATGCTGTGGGACATACCACAGCTGGAGTGGAGAGAGACAGAGGTGAGCGGTCACTGCTCCAGGACCGAGGATAAGATGAGTATTTCTTCTTTATTTCCCCCCTAGAGAAAAACGAGCAGTTAACCCTTGCAGCGCAAGGGATCATTTTTTTAAAATCCCACAAACACCATTTCTAGCAACGCAGCACACCACAGCGCACAGTACTTTGCGACCGTGTGTTGTAGTGTGCAGCAAAACGTGTGTTGGAGTTGCGTTACCTCAGCAGGATGTGGTGACATTCAATTTGAATGCCACCCCAATGCACTAGCCCACATAACATTAGACCATTTCTTGTTGTGGATCACTAACATTCTCAGCTTCTTACAACTGTTAGGGAGTTCAGGTTTCTTCTGGTGAACCTACGTATGAAATGTTATATTATAATTGCATTTTACTACGTTCATTGATCTCTTTGTGCCCTGAAATGCATATTCTGAAATGCTCTGCAGTGAAAAGATATGAAGATCCCTGATTTATAGGACAGCCTTGTGTTTGCTGCAGTTTCCCAGTTTCTCTGACTGGTTATACTGCTAGAAACTGTTTAGATTTGAACACAGCAGTGCTCAGGGGGCCCCCTGGATGCAGCGTCTGAGCGTAGAGAATGATAATGGCCACTGGCTAATGAGGTACAAATCAAGCGTCTCATTTGTCATCAGCTCCATTTCACAAACAATAGACTGGTGAGACTGGAAACATATGCAATATCCCTCCGCTCAACTTTTCACATGAAATCATAAAAAAAAGTTCCATTTTAAATCAAATATTTTCTTTTTAAATAACAGGCACAATTGATCCACAACTGCTCCAGCATGAAAAGGGTCTAATGAACCGCACGAGTGAGTTTTACATTATGAAATATGTGAACTTATAGACCTGCTCATGTGTAGAGTGGCTGCTGATGGGAAAAATATGCTTATAATCATACCGTTTCCTAGAATTTCATGCCTTTGCAACATTCAGGAAATTGATTAGGGATTCTCTGCTTCTAATAAAAATAATACAAATTACTTTCTCTTTTGTATCTATGGACACACAAAATAAAATAGAGGGCTTTATTTAAGGACCCAGTGTATGGAGTAATGATGCATTTTGCCGAAATGCAACCAAAGATCACAGTTGGGTGCTGTCCAATGATAGCCGACTTGTGAACGGCGGTTGTTACTGCAGATAACAGATTTTTTTTTACATTTATAGTTCAACACATAAGTGAACTTTAAGAGGATAATGCACCCTATACGCCCCCCCCCCCCCCTCTCTTTTTTTCCTTTTTTTTTTTTTTTT